CAAAGATCTGAGGGGCACAGGCATAAGTTGATAAGTCCCATGTGCCTGTAATTTCACCAGCACACTTACCCTTCCAAACCGGAACGCAGTGACTTGCTTACCAACAGGTGCACGACTTGTTCGTCCCATCAATTGGTGTAATAAAAAAAGCAAAAAAAGATGTGCGTTGCGCGTCGGGGTGGTTCGACCGAAAGAAAAACGTGCGACCACTTTTTCACTCTTTTTCTACTTTAAGTAAGTGTGATACTAACGAAACAATCAAAGCATAGAGATTCATTAACACGTTCACAGTCCTCTATATAAAGGCCGAAATTAACCCCGTAAGTCAACTGGAATTTGTTTGAAATAGTGTAGTTTTGTCTTCTACTTTATTATATCTAAATTATTTTATTTTTTTTTAAATTACACCTCCTACAAAGACTGTCCAGTTCATAAGTTCAAAAAATCATAGTTTTGATCTACAAGTCCAACCAAATGTTTGACATTTAAGTAGTACATAGTTGCGACTCCATAGGTACGTGTGGACTTATGGTTGAAACCATTTGTGACTCCAGTTGAAGTAATAGACTGCGAACGTGTTAAGGGACAATAGAGATTCAAAGCGGGTTGTCTAATTATATAACTGCATATGCTTCTGCGTATGCCATGTCACTAATTAAAGTAAAATAATGTATATACGAAGTTACCTTATAAACACCGCGATGGTTTACCTTATTTTTCTGTTTTTTTTTTTCATTACATGACATAAAACCAGACTGTAGCAATCAAACAATTCAGTACTACGACACATATTATAAGTGTCCAAAGTAGAAGAAATTTTTCTGAAACATTTTAAAACATCGCAAATTACTTAAATTTTAATATGAATAATACCTACAAAAGCTAAGATCGTAAAATAAAAAAAAAATTATTTACCATTTGTCTCCGCCAAATTGCGATTCATGCCTGAAAATTTGGCTGTGGGCTTTTCAGTATTTGGTTTTTGTGTAGTAGTGGTTGCAGTAATTTTTTTCTTGATCACCCTATTGTCTGAAACATGAAAAATTTAATTTAAGATTCTTTGTGCACTTCATGAGATCGTACAGGGCTATTTACTTCCCACACCTCGTCGATGTCAGTAGTCAGAGGATTAGCTTCTCAAAAGAACAAAACAATATACAACAGGAATACAACATTCTAAATCAATTCTTTATTACGCGTTAATAAGTACTTTTTGCACCTTACTGAAATATAACGCACATCAATGCTTTTCTCTCTCTTATTGCGATTGGAATTAATAGAAAATAGTACCTAATAATATTTTTTTTTGGCACAGCTACAGAATACAAACTGTGACGACTTAGAGTTAACATGCATTATAATAGGATTAAATTTGTATTCCTATGACAGCCACGCACGGCATTTGCGAAATAAATAAAGTACTTACAAACTAACAGACTATTAAACACAATTTAAAAAAATTGCACTTAAAAACAATAACAAAAAATCATGTTACACGTACATAAAAACAATGAGATTCTTAAATATACAACATATCCAGCTTCTCCTCACAAATATTTAAATAAGTCTAGCGACTATGGGAGAATAAGTCCAAATCTTTAGAAAAGTTGTTATAATAGGATAATAGGATCATTATATGAACAATGTCTCAGTGGTACAAAAAGTTATTTGGGTACATTTACTGCCAATCTTAAACAAGACGTGGCTCAAGATCTCACACCTAACATGTAGAGTGTTAGGGTCATGAATGAGTTAAGTTTGATTGATCTATAAGACACCGAGCTTTTTCTTGACTAAAATAATCATGTAACAACGTTGGGCCATTGTACGAATCGTGCAAGCTTCGTTCTTCCAGGCGAATTTATATTTTTTGAGGTAAGCCACTATTCTAGAAAGATATCAGTCAGTTAGATGTAATAAACATTTTATGAAAAGATGATAAATACCCGCATTTTGATTATTATGATAATTTATCTGTTCCTGAACGTCTAAAGTGTTTGAATGGTTTTGTATATCTTCCGGATCTGAAAACATAAATGAATTAATTTAATGAAGACTGCCCATTTCAGAAAAACATTGTTATAGATAAAAAGTATATTAAAACTGCAAGGGCTATCTTTCTACATCAATCATCATCAATGAAGTCAAATTGAGCAAGCTGGTATAACAAGAAGTTCTCTTATATATTCCGATAGACTTACTGATAACGGAGAGCCGGCACAAGAATAAAAATCCTCCTTGTAAAGAACAATTATCCACTGAGTCAAAAGGTGCAATCTTGTGTACTTTTTTAACGTCATGGTGTATTATTAACGATCCTTGACGCTCTACAAACGTAATTAAAAAAAAATTATTATACTTGAACAGAAAAGTAAAACTGATGACTCACCGGTATGATGACGCCAATATTGTTATAACTATTAGAAAAATGAAGATTCAACAAAGACTGGGAAAAGGAAGGCCGATGGTAAACTACAATATGTCGGACATAGAACATATTAAAATACGAATGAATAGGGCTGTGCAAGGAGGTCTCAGAGTAAGTGTACGAAACAAAAACATGAAAGGCGTCACGCAGTGAAAAGGATAGTTCTTTGGAAGGGCGAGTCTTGAAACGAATAGTTTGGAATCATGAATAAGATCATTCTATACCTATTAATCATACGTACCTATTTCTGTCAACAAAAAGAGATGTGAGCATTATTGTGTTTCGGTTTTGAAGGGCAAATTTTAGTGAAACTACAGGCATATGTGACTTGTCAACTTTATCTCAGGTTGACATAGTGGCATTGTCCCTCAGGTATTTGCGATTTAAAGCTCTGAGTGGCAGTGGAACTATTATGGGTACGGGTGTCGTTTACCACCAAGCGCATGATTTTGAAAAAAGTATATTATAAACGTAGCGATTGGACGCGGTCCTCTTAAATATCGCATCGCTTTTTTAGCAACCATTGCATTTATAGGAAATAGATATTTAGATTTAGTTTACATTTAGATGGTTTTGAGTAGTAATTAAATGATGATTAGTAATGATTTACATAAGGCGCTATAAGTTTCCGGAACTGGCTACTTACATAAACAACATTTAAAAAGCAACTAGAACATTTGAAAATGAAACTCTTGGGCTGTACATTGTGGCGTCAATTTAAAAATTGGTTGACTACGTCACCATGGATTTAAGCCGTGAAAATTTTCGTAGTATGATTTTCTACGACTTTAAGTGTAATTTAACTGCTCAGAGGAGCTTCGCTTGGCTTCAAACTGCTTTTGGCGATAAAGCGCCACGCAAGACGACTATTTATAGCTAGTTTGTAGAATTCAAACGCGGTAAGGTGATTTTCAGTGACGAATTTCGTGATGGTCGCCCGTTCACTGCTGTGAACAACAAAAACATCGATGCTGTGCGCCGTATGATCAAAACAGACAGGCATTTGACATACCATGAGATTTGGGCATCTTTAGGTATAGGCATGAGCCAAATACAATCAATACTACACAAATATTTCGGTGTGAAAAAGCTGTGCTCTCTGTGGATCCCACACAATTACGACTGAGGCTCAAGAAACGGATCGCGTCACTTGGTGTAATGCCATGCTTACCAGATTCAATGAAGGGGCGTTAAATTTGGTGTGGGACATAGTAACAAGTGACGAAAGATGGATTTATAGTTACTATCCCAAAACAAAGCAGCAATCGAGCGTATGGGTCTTTCGAGATGAGCCGAAACCAACCAAAGTGAAGCGCGTGCAAAGTGCCTCTAAGCGGATGATTGCTGAATTTTTTTAACAAAATTGGACACGTGGCTACTGTTGCTTTGGAGATTTATTGTACCGTGAATAGTGATTAGTACACGATCATTTGTTTGCCGGAAGTTATTGACAAACTCCGTAAAAATAACCGTGAACGCCATATCGTCTTGCACCACGACAATGCTAGTTCTCACACGACCAGACAGACAAATGAATTTTTGAAGGTGAACAACGTTGACCTTATGAGCTATCCCGCGTATAGTCCCGATCTGGCACCTTGTGACTTTTACTTATTTCCAAAAATTAAGAACCTGTTACGGGGTCAATGATTTTCATCACTTGAAGAGGCTGTCGAAGAGTATGAAAAATATGTTTCCGAGATTGTCACGGAGGAGTGGCGTAAATGTTTTCAAAATTGGTTCATTCGTATGAAAAAGTGCATTAACGCTAACGGAGAATATTTTGAGAAACAATAAATTCATTTCTGACCATTTATAATATTTTTTCTTATTAATTCTGGAAACTTATTGTGCGCCCCACGTAAAGCATGCGACAACATTATCAGGCGAATTATGGAATGAAAAAGATTGGAAATATCTGAAAAGGACTTAATAAGAGTTGCGATGATACGAAGTGAACTAACACCGCTTGATGATCTCAAATATTTGACGATCGTATGACCAGCAGATGATGACTCAAGAGGAAAAAAGTCACATTCCTAATGACTGTAACTGAACAGAAAGTACGAACGAATCCATTTTTTGTTACAAATTGGATATAATCTTATAATCAGATTTAATGACAACACAAGTAGGTACTTAATGCATTTTTCATAGAAAATGTCATCATTTTGACCAAAATAGTTAATAGACAGGAATACCAGAATTGGGTGAGTTTGACGTGAGTTTGTCGGTTCTATTGATTATTAAAAAATTTGGAAGTACTCAGTTGAATATTTCCGATATTTTTATATTTTATATGTTGAATAATTACCATTCACTTACCGGCATTTATTCCTATAGGAATAAGGTTCAATATCAAAACTAAGTAACAGAAACAGGAAAATGAATACATTTTCATGAAGCACTCACGATAAAACCACAAAGACTGAAGTAAACAACTGACTGCAACGTAATTTAACTGAAATAAAATGTTGTAATGTATAAAATGCCACACCCTAATGTACCTAATAAATTATGTTACGATATTATTTTGTACTAAACGGAACAAAAATTGATTGTTTATTTAATACGACTAGTAATAGTAATCTTAAGATATTATCCAAAAATTTTTTGCAAAAAAAAATTGTGAATAAGTTACTGTGGGTCACATTCTTTGAAATTTCTTTGTAAATATTGTTACACACGGCGATTTGTAGCAAAGTCCGCGAAACACGCGATTGCATCGCTACACTTGCGATTTATAGGCGACTGCATCGATACACTTGTGATTTGAAAGCGAGCGCAATAATGCACACGCGCGTCTGCATGGATACAATCGCGCGTTAGTATCGATGCAATCGCGCGTTTTTATCGATGCAATCGCGCGTTTGCATCGCGTTTGTATCGCTGGTTAAAGTCGCGGGTGTGTGTAAAGGGGTAAACGATTAACGACTCAATCGCTACTACATCCCGTCGTCGTGTGTAACAGCGTTTAGTGTAATAAAGCCACATCTACAAAATGACAAGTTTCTACGAACAAAATTAGTCGATGACTATTTTATACTTAAAAAGGGGAATTATAAAATATATCATAAAATCCAAGTACTTAATAATATTTAATGTAAGTAGTTGGTATTATTTTTATGACTTTCCTATGATTAATCACTTTTGAAATATGATCACATGCTGTTTTATACCAATTTTTTATTTTCTAGAGGGTTTTTAGTCATAGATCTTTAATAAAGAGGATTATTGTCCACTACACTGTTAACATACGAGTTACGTAGACCACATGCCTATGATTTTTTTTTTTCAAATTTTCCTCAAATGTTTTCCTTAATTGTTATAGCAATATTATTCAGTTTCCGTTTCATAGGTTTTAAGACTATTAAGCAAATTTTATGGGTTAAAATAAATCTATGTTTCTGTTGTTAACATTAAGTAGCTTAAGTAAAAGTATATAAAATTTAGTTCTGTATTAGTACATATTGTTAGTAATATTATATTTTAGAATTTAAAGATAAAATAGGCATAATCCATTTACTTACTTACACAACTATTTACAATTTTAATAATTAAATACTACATATTCAATTTATATTCAGAACAATTTCCTTATTTAGCAAACGATATAAAAATGCTTTAAAATAATATTGAACACATAAGAAGGAAGGTAAAATGTTATTCCGCGAGAGGACCAAAACAATACAGAATCATGACTGAAGAATAATTTTAAATCAACTATGTTAAATCGAGAGATGGCGAGATGTCATGAGGCAAACACACCACATCAGCCGTTAACAAACGTACTCCTTGATGACCACGACCACTCTGTCACGAGTGATACGAAAGAGAAGAAGATGCTAAATCGAAGAAAAAAGTTAATTAAAGAAAACAGAAGTAATCATAAATTTCTTATTTTTAATCTGACCCCAATTTAATATTTCAAATAGAATACAAACACAATCAAAATCATCCGACAAAAATTTTCTGTATTATTTCTAGCATACAATACACTAGGTTTACTTTGTGAAATAATTTTAATTTTTGTGTGGAATTCTTTTTATAACTAGTTATTACTGGTATTGCTGACGTTTTTATCTGTTTTAGGCACAAGTTTTCCAACTATAGTCGTGTAAGGTGTTTCTGTGGGTATCTTCGGAAGTTCTCGATTTATATTTCGTGGTAAATCCAACTTCGCGTACTGCACCACATCTGGAATGGTAGCCTGAAATACATATATTTTCCAAATTAACATTCACAGTGTGAGTACTTACTAATAAATGTTGTTTTTTAAAGAACATCGACTCCTCGAATAAGCTATAGCAATGTCCTTGATTTTCTTTTTATGAGGTCGAAAATGGGTTACTATTATATATTTCAACAACAAACTAACCTCAGTTCATTTGAAAATGAAATCATTGCTATAACTATTGTAGATATATCTCTGGATTTTTTTTAAAGTAAATGGTAAGTCCACTCTTGACCACCATCTAACCCTAGATATAAATAGGGTTTACGATGGAACGAGTTCGCCCAGACAATGCCTATTCAGTTACATCTATACTCGTATTGTATGTGCTCGGAAACACAAATGATGGCTGGGACTTCCATAGGTATTACGTATACACGATATATTTATAATTCAACATTAATGCTAAAACTCACATATTCTGGTTCTTCTCGAGGCGGTTGGTTATTGGTTCTGGCTTTTTTAAATCGATTTCTAATACAAATACCACCGACTATAAGCAGAAATATCACAATGAGGCCAATTACTGCGCCAACTATTATGAAAATTGAAGAATCTGAAAATTATAATCCATACTAAAATATTATAAATCCGAAAGTAATTTTCTCTGTTACGTGTCCACGCCTGAACTGCTAAACCAATGTTGACGAATTTTGATATGGAGATAGATAGAACCTACGAGAAGGACTTATAAATCACATAAATAAATCTTAAAGGGTGTGAAATAGGGGACGAAATGGAAAACCTATAAAACTATGAAAATTAGCACAGTACAGTAGGCTACTCGAAGTATTCATTCTACGCAGATGAAGTCGCGGGTACCAGCTAGTAGTATATAATGTCGCTCATCCAATATAATAAATGCACAATTGTAGAGTGTAGAATTTTCCAGGACAGACTAAAGTGCATTAAACTTTTCCATTTAAATTTTGTTCTTTGCTACAACGCTTCTCGCGTCATGTTATAAACGTTATGATTGTTTTTTATGATATCAAGTGATATAAACGAAGTGTGCGCACTACGCCCGTCACCCTGAGACTTGAGTTCACAAGTCTAATATATCAGTAATTCATCGAGTATATAATCAAAAATAGAGACGAAATAAGGGCCGTCTCTAACTGGCAACTCATGAGGCAAATGGGCCTTATATCACTTTTAAATATCAACTCTAGTTTGCCCTGAAATCTATTAAAAATTAGAAACAGTACAGCACCAACAACTTACATGTGTGTACGTCTCCGTATAATCCAAAAATGTGCTGTATTTATTGTAATAAAGATAATAATCTCTAACAATGTTTCATCCGGTAGTATGGGGAAAAACAGTAACACATCTAATTACGAAACAAATGGAATCACATTTAAATATGTAATTTTTAAATTTTCGTCCATTATGGCAAGGCTCAAGTTAAACCGGTCCGTTTGAAGTGAAACAATTGACGACATCCGTCAATTGTTTCCAATTCGGGCTGGCCAATCGGAGCGCAGTTGGCACCGTAATGATTTGGCAGAGTAGTTTTCAAACAAATTATATGACATTTCGTCTGTATTTCTGGTTATAAGCCTACTCGATGTAGTAATTTCACCAGCACCCTTACCCTTCAAAACCGAAACCCTTGGCGGCAGAAATAGGTAGATCTTGATACTACATTAAGGTCTTTGTTTTCCTAGTAAATATACGTTAGATTACTTATGCCGTAATTATCAAAGTTTTACACGATTTTACGACTGTGTCATTGCTACACCGGATAAAACGATAACACCTTCTCAAACTAGGATATTACTCGTAACGTAAATGGAATTATTTCTCTGGTTAGTACTCATTTAGAACAACACAAATTTAGAAAGTCGTACCCAGATTAGCATAAATAAATAATGTTCAATTTCATTAAACTCATTATTGTTTATTATTACAGTTTTTAGTCAAGTTTGTAAAATAAATTAGGAGGCTATAAAAGACCACAATTCGTAGTAATGGAAACATACCCGTTTTATCTTCATACTTCGGATCAATGGATTGAGCTGAATCTGTTAAAAGCACTTCAGTTGCTAAAAAAATTAAAAATGAATTCAATTAAGGCAACTATATATTACATTATATATTAAGGGCGATTAATGAGAAATTACTAACGAGAGTTTGGTAGAAACCCGAACCCGAAGACTGAGGGCTTCAATGACTCCAGTTTGTAATTTTTACCGCCCGTGCTAAATATAATGTTTTTCATCACATTTGCGAGTAAACAGATACAATGATAATTTATTTCTTGTATGAATAAATATCGATTCACAACACAACATTTACGAATTTTGTAAAAAGTAGGTTTTTTTTTAACAGATTGCCAGCTATTCTTCCATAGTTAATACAACTCTAACTAAAATGTTACAAAAGGCACGACGCATGCAGCCACGATGTATTAGATATAAAATAAATAATTTTCAAATTCTAAAAATAGTGCAAAATTTGAATTCACAAAATAAATATTTACCTTGCAAATTTATAGTATTTTTTCTTTATAGACTTATGCGAATTACATTCAGATTTTTTGAGCATAAAATCTTTTTGCTTAATCGTGGCGTTTAAAAGAAGTATAGTGTAAATAAAATAAAAAAATACCGCCCTGAAACTGTAAGGTAATAAAAAAACCCGCTGGCATATTTTAGGTCATTACGGTCACCTTGGCCTGCATGATATGACATTGTTTACGAGGAAGTGTGATGAAATAAATATTTGTTTATCACTCCCAATAGCTTATAAATACTACAGTGTATAGATATCCGCTTCAAATCCAGTAAATTACAATGATAAAAGCACTAAAATTCAAACTAAATATAATTACGTGTTTCGGGCCCAAACAAGTGGGCCCTCACTTTTGTATGAAAAACATATTTTTCTGGATACCCTATCATAATAAATACAATTCAAAATATGAATGCGATATTTATTTTATTTTTCATTGCATTGCAATCAATGTTCAGGGTGAAGAGCACGTTAAGCTTGACACTTAAGATTTAAATCCAATTCTATGCCGCTTACGATAAGAACGGTCCAAAGTACAAAGTTTCGAGCTTCACGTGCTCTTTGCGGGCGTTTACTGCATCGTAGAATAATAATATTGTTTGGGTGTAAATCACTGCACATATTATGAACATTTTGATGTACACGGGGCCTTAGGAGGATTTATATTAACAAAGCTGACTAAGTGAAAGACTGTTGTCCAAGCCAGATGAAACCAATATGTAATTGTTAATAATACGGGTCGGCAGAATAAAGGACGTATTATGTCCAATTCATTGGTGTCAGTTTAAATTTTAGTGGCGTCTCTCTTAATTATCCTTCACATTTTTTGACATTATAAACAACATCAAACAACTATTTGTTGGTATCATAAAAATATGAAGCGTTTTTTTACCTACATGCATAAGAGCGATGCCACACGATGCGTTGCGTCGGCGTTGTGACGCCTAGGCCTTATCCAGAAGAAATGAATTCGCCGTGAATCGTCAAGCTCGTGTTGCATCCAGAAGAAGCGTTCGACTAGCGGACGTTTGAGGACGATTAAGAGACGGGTATAGATTTAAAGGTACATTATACGAAACATCTCTAGATAGCTTTCGTACTACTATAATTCGACCTGGCGTAAAGTCTCGAAATTTTCTTCTTCTTCAAGTGCCTCTCCATTAATGAAGGTTGGCAGTCAATAATCTATATCTTTCTTTGTCCAGAGCTAGCCTGAACAGTTGTTCGACGGTCTTGATGCCGGTCCACTCCCTGATGTAATGAAGCCATGACATTTTCCTTCTTCCAACCTTCCGCTGCCTGGCAAAGTCTCGAAATTCAATGATATTATTAGCTAATTATTTTATGGAAGGGGGTCGACCTCGAACTTTTCGTATTTTAAAATTGTTTTAGCGTACTTAGAAGAACCCATATCCTATATTTCGATCTATTGTCTATTTCATCTATAAACATTTCCGTATTAAAATTTTACCTTGCTCCGCAGTTCGCGCGTAAACTAAACGCAATCAAGGAATTTCTACTAAATCGACTCGCGCGAGTCACAAAAAGAAGTTTAAACTCGTTCGTTGCTTGTCGAAACGATATATAAGCGTCAAGTATTTCGCCAATGCAATGAATTCGCGCGTGGGGATACGCGGCAAATTTGATCTATCTGGACATGGTCAGCGGTAATGTTGCGTTGTATTACATATAAATCGGAACAACATGCCACACGATGCGGTGAAATGGTGCGCGGCAGGGCGCGACGGAATGCGTGCACATCGGACAAGGAGCGTTACGTTGCGATACCGCATTGCTCGTGTGGCACTCTGTGAGTTGAAATCATAGCGTGGCAACAGCGCAACGCTACTATATCGCCCGTGGGGCATCGCTCTTAGTCTGACGACCCTAGATGGATCGCCACGCTTCTATACCATAGGCGTGAAAGTGAAAATATACGTAAATACATTTAAAAGTTACCACGCTATTACGTATGACAATATATTGATAAATAGAACTAAGTAAGTGTATTTATATAAAACAACCTCAAGTACTTACTTATGTTTTGGTAGTTACGAAAATATTCATTGACATAAGTTAAGTTGGAGCCTTCACAAATTAAGGTTAAATTTTTGGATTTAGTTATGTTGATTTTGGTAGATCCGTTGATTTGTTTAGCTAGACAGAAAATTTGTGAATCGTTATCACTGTTCGTGAATTTCCTTATCAATTCAACAGTTTCCTTGTGTTTTTTATATTTTATGTCTTTATTAGAAAATTGTATTTCTTGAACAACACTTGAATTTAATAGCAAATCTGAAATTGAAAAAACTTGATAATTAAATCATAACTCGTAGTAGTTAGCACAACAATGGTTTTATCAGAACCTTAAAAAAAGCAGAAAAAGAGGTATATGGGTCTTTTCACTTTTTTTATCGATATGCTGTACCTAAATTTTAAAATTTTATTTAGCTGACATTTTTATAATTAATATTGTGAGGGTCACGTTAAATAAAAATCCAGGACATTCGAACAAACACTGTATATTAAAAAAACTAGTTATTTCTTAACCCGCCAATATGAGTGTGCCCTACACCGGTCAAGATTTCCATTTTACCGTATTGCTATTTTTTATCAACCGATTTTATCGGAGTTTTATCGACGAGTTGAATCGATATATTCTATTAATAAAGTGACTTGTATATCATATTATAACACTAATTTACAAGGAATTGTTCAAAAATTAGTGCCAAATTGAAACGGACCTTACAATATTTAAAAAAAAACTCCAATTTATACGTAGTCTAAGTCGAACATTTTCTTGTATATTTCTAGAAAAAATAATAACAAAATTCGTGCAAATTGTAAATATTTTCTTAATAATTTTGATCACACTAAATTATTTTATTTGTTTATTTAGATAGAGATTTTTTAAATAAATCAGAACGTTGTTTTTTTACTACCTTTTGTGTGCTTTGGTCTGGTAATGCAGGAGACACAGGGCCGGAATGAGTCTTTCATGAACCCTTAAAAAATAATTCATAAATTTCTCTGCACATTGCAAGATAACTAATAAGAATAAATGATACGTCTGAAAGTCGTAGGTACTGCATTGATATTACGATATCAATTTAGATTAGGATTATCGAGTACCCTTTTTTTATACATTTAACATTAAAAAAAATTAACGAGTCTATGAACAATTATAACATTATATTATTGGATTTTTTTAAATTCATTTAATAATTACAAAAACATTAACACGGTTTTACTTTACACTCTTAAACCTAAACAGATTTGTATGAGTGTTGCAACACGTCTAACATAATATGTAAAATAATAATTTTATTAAATTTAGACAATACACGAATAAAGAAAATATAATGAAGGTATAACGCAAATTAATATTACCTAGCAAAAAGTTATGCAATCCACCGATTTTCCGCCGCATCAGAGCGCGCGCTGTTGCAAGGAAACCAGTTCTACTCTCAGCGCTATACGCGTGTATACAGGCTGTTCGAAATCAATATATAATGTGCCACTACTACGCATGGATTACTTATAAGAAAAAAAAATGAAGATAATAAATATTATTATCATGTTATATATAAGACAAAAAATTTGATTTGTCAAAGTATTTGACAAAGATTAGGACAAGGCAAAGGCAAGTCTTTCTTTTCCGTTACCAGTATAAAAAAGACATTACATTTGTTATAGTTTAGTTTATATTATACGTGTAAGTATGATGTAAATATTCGTACTGTGTGATTATGGAGTAGTCGGTGTCGAAATTTAAAAAAAAGCAACTTAAAAAAAAGTGTCGTCTTGCCAACACACGCACAGCGTCGACACGACGTCCTCGATCGTCCGCACAGTGGCGGCGACGCAACGTAGGTATCCCTTACTAATTTGTGGACGCAACGCTAGCACTAAGCTACTGCTGAATAGTGCCAAACGTCGCCGTCGCTCGGGTATACATATGCCGCGCTGGAGATTCGTCGCTGTCGCGCGGACGTCTTGTTGACGCTGTGCGTGCATTGACTAGATGCTGACCCTCGAAAGACGCTAGTGTGGGGGTCTCTAAGTGTACAAGTATGAAATCTTCTGTCTTATTGGTTTTTAGAAACCAAATCGATGTAATAAATTTATTTTTATAATTTTAATTCAGTTTATTGAAAATCACGATGATGTTTTACTAAATATTTTATATTCTATTGTTTTTTTGTGTAACGACTACGCTATTTTGTTAAAATTATGAATACAAAGGTCGAATACTAAGAAAAATTCCTTCGATCCGGTTGGATTAAAACCAGCGCCTTCAGCATACCGTGCCCTCTACCAACCGGTAGACGGAACGAATTAGCAGACCATAAGGTCTGCTTAAGATAACTTCTGATCTTTGTTTTTGGTTTTTAACGACTGTAAGAATCTATAAAATTTAAATTTACGTCTGAAGTCAGAATATCGCACCCTTGGTATAATAAAGCCACATCTGCAAAATGGCAACATTTCAAAAGAAAGGTTTAAAAATTGTACGAAAGAAATGTAGTACGGATCGATTTCTTAGGTTTTCGCGATTGTTAGACATAGGACAAACGAAACTATTTTTTTGGATCTGAATTCCTACGATGAAAAATCCAAAGCAGACATAAGCTGCGTTATATAATCTATATGTCTTAATTTATTCTAATGTACAGGTAATAATTTTACTTTAAAAAATAGAACTCAAAAGTTTGTGGAATGACATCGATTCTAAGTTTTATTGAAATCGATTCATAGAAAGTGGGTGACATCCAATAAACAGGATTCGTCACCCTAATAGGTAGAATTTTTTTTTAAATTGGAATTGGACCATTACCGAGGTACTCTTTTCCAACAAAAAAAAATAATCGCGAAGTAATCTCGTAACATACACACAAATAGAATTAAAATGATAACCTCCTCTTTTTTTAAGTCGTTTAAAAAAATAGCAAAATACTTACACGATGTTATTTGATACCAATATAAATTAGTGTTCTTTGGTAAATTTGATCCAATGCATTCCAAATGTAATGGTTCACTTGTATTGTAAATGACATAATCATCAAATATTGGCTTTCCTTTTCGCCTTAAAGTAACCAGTGGTTTGGTATCTAAATCAAGTGCCCTTGAATGTACTTTTAACGGTTCTGGAATAAAAAAAATCATAGTCATCTTACATTTATTGCATTATATGATACAGAAAAAGATCTTAAAGTTATTATATTATAATCCATCCAACATACACGGTAAGCGCCCAGTTATATGAGGAGAAAGTTTTCGCGCGGCGATCACTCGGTTACCACGCCTTCATGTACAGTAATGATGAATCTGAATTTTATTTATTAGACAACAACATTTAAATTCCTCCGAAGAAATCTACCGTCGTCGGTCGTCGGTCGTCGGTCGTCGCGCGGGCCGCCGCGTAGACCAAATTGAAGCCAGCTTAATTAAATTATTATTGAATTGATATTCAATTATTTTTGTGAAATTGCTCCACTAGTTTGTTATAATTATTCGATAGATATATGGCGACATCTCTCGCCAGGACTGGTAGCTGTAAAGGTACTAACTGGGTGATAAATCTGTAATAGATTTCTCATAGATGGCGCTACGACTAAAAAGTCGTTGAAAGACCAAGTACAAAGACACGACGCAAGCACATAGAAAAATTCATGAGGTCCGTTGGTTCGTTCCGTGGCTTAGTTGGTATAGCGTCTGGCACGGTATGCAAGATGACGTCGGTTCGAATCCGACCGGATCGAAGGAATTTTTTCTGAGTGTTCGATCTTTGTATTAATAATTATAACAAAGTAGAGCTTGTTTTGCCATTATAGTTAGACGCCCGCGGTCGCTGTGCGGCGCCAACGCGGACTCCACTCTTCGACCGCGCGGCGGCCGCGCGGGGTAAGAGCGACGAAATTCGTGTCGAGTAAATGCGCCCTTAGGGCACTGTAACCTAACTTAATTATCTACTCCTATCCTTACCTAATTCTGCCGCCGTAACTGTAACGTGAGTACTGCAATGTAGTAGTAGGTAAAGTGGCAGTACTTCTCGGGACGAACTCTTTCACAAGGAGTTCTACCGCTACTAAATGCACTGCAGTATCCACCAGTCTACCTATCTTGCCTATTAAATTATTTTATCGCGTTTGCCGCCATTTTGTAATGCTAGTATAATAAAACGCGAAAGCTTAAAAGCGTATCTTTCTTGTTAAATTTCTAATACATAATTATTAATACAAAGACTAAGCACAAAGAATCCTTTGATCCGGCTGCATTCAAACCAGTGACTTCGCCATACCGCAGCTGATTTAAGAAAAATAATTGGATACCATGGTAGTAAAACATACTGATATTAAATAAATTTAATATTTCTAATATT